GAAAGAAGTAAAATAAGAGCATGTCTCTGCAGATGACATGATCTTATATATAGAAAATTCTAAAGATGCCACCAAGAAACTGTTAGAATACATGAGTTCAGCAATGTGACAGCATACAAAATCAAGAGACAAAAATTAGTTGTGTTTTTATACACTAATAATGAAGCATTTGAAAAAGAAATTATTAAAACAATCCTACTTACAATAGCATCAAAAAGAATAAAATAGGAATAAATTTAACAAAGAAAGTAAAAGATCTGTATGTTGAAAACAATAAAACTCTGATGAAAGAAATTGAAGATGGCAAATAAATGGCAAGATATATTGTATTTATGGATTGAAAGAATTATACTGTCAAAATGTCAGTGCTACTCAAATAGATCTACAGAGTCAATGTAATCCCTATCAAAGTTCCAATGTCATTTTTCACAGAAATAGAAGAAACAATCCTAAAATCTGTATGGAACCACAAAAGACCCTGAATAGCTAAAGCAATCTTGAGCAAGAAGAACAAAGCTGGAGACTTCCTGATTTCAAATTATATTACAAAGCTATAGTAATTGAAATAGTATAGTATTGGCATAAACACAGATACATAAACCAATGGAACAGAATAGCCCAGAAATAAACCCATGCTTATACAGTCAACTGATCTTTGACAAAGGCAGCAAGAGTACCCCATAAGGAAAGGATAGTCTCTTCAACAAATGGTGCTGGGAAAGCTGGATATCCATACGCAAAAGAATGAAATTGGAACCTCCTTTTGCACCAGAGATAAAAATCAACTTAAAATGGATTAAAGGCTTAAATGTAACTTCAGAACTATAAAACTGTAAAACCAGTAAAGCTTTAAAACTGTTTGTGTATACATATGTACATACGCACACACACACATATATGCACATATGGGAACATTGTTCAGCCTTTAAAAACAAGGAAATCCTTCCCTTTGCAACAACATGAATGAACCTGGAAGGCATTATGTTAAGTGAAATAGGCCAGACATGAAAAGACAAATATCACACAATCTCAACGATATGTGAAATGTGAAAAGTTGAACTCATAGAAACAGAGAGTAGTTAAGAGTGATTACCAGGAGCTGAGGGATGGGGGGAGATGTTGGTCAAAGGGCACAAATTTTCGGTTACAAGATGATAAGTTCTGGAGATCTTAAATTCAGCATGGTAACTACAGTTAATAATATTGTACTGTATTATATACTTGAAACTTGCTGAGAGTAAGTGTTCTCATCATACACACATGAAAGATGTTAATTAGTTCGATTGTGGTAATCATTTCACAATGTACACATATATCAAACCTTCAAGTTGTACACATTAAATGTATATAATTTTTATTTGTCAATCATACCTCAATAAAGCTGAAAAAAATAAGAATAAAAACTCTCAATGCTGCGTCTCTTGTCCAGAGAATCTGATTTGATTGATGTGGGGTCAAATTCAAGCATGAGTGTTTTCAGGGTATGGGGGAGGTGGTAAACATACTCAAAAGTGTTTGTGAAAAAGTGTAATATTCATATAATAACATGCACACATCTTAAGCACCCACTTTAATGAATTTTACAATTCAAAACTTCATTTAAAAACTCCACCCAGCTCAAGATACAGAATGTCATTAGCACTCCAGAAGCCTCAGCACAGGATTTTTAAAATTAAAACAAAAATTAAAACTCTTCAAATTGCAAGAGTATAACAATGACCTCGGCAAAGTTATTTTTAAAGTTTTTCATTGTTAATTTTAATTTGTGGACAGAATTGAATGAAACATATGTTTTCTCGCCACACTTTTGGCCATGGAAATCCTTTAGAAAAGCAATGGCATAAGGTTTTCATATTTACATTACTCATTTCCTAACCAGGTCATTATTTCTCAAGGTGTTGTCAACATAAAAGTTGATGTCAGCCTTCGACATTTAATTTTGTTGTGTTGCCATTGTTTTTGCAACTTTTCATGTATTGTTTATGATTCCCAACTTTCCCTCATTCCAGTTATATATGAATTAATCAGCCGTTGTAGCTATAAACAAGAAGTATCTGAAGTGTACTTTGGAAAAAGCAAGGTGGAGATCATGCTTATTCTTTGTGGGTTGGCACTGACTGACTGGTGGCGAGGCAGGAGAGAAAATCTGGAACCATCCAGAGTTCAAGGACAGGGATGTGTGAAAGGCAGAGTTGGAGGAATTGAATCCCTAGTGAGAAAGAAAACTAAAAATAAAAAGTCATGCCCGGGCTTGGTGGACACATGTAGGCTGCAGAAGCCAGTGCGAGTTATGAGTTTAAGAAGGCCAGCAGGTGAAATTCTGAGTGATATGATGGGAAGGGAGGACCAGGAAAGAGACAGCCATTAACCAGGGAGACAAGGAGCTCCAGAGAGAAAGCTCAGCCATAGCCAAGGAGCAATGCTTTCATCAGAGGTTGAAAAGAGAACAAGTCTGGCCTGAAGGCTGGCTAAGAAGGAATCCAAAAAAAGAAGAGAGAGAGAGAGAGAAAGAAGCACTTTAGCTGCTGTATAAATTTGCCAGGTTGAGCCCTCCGTGAGTAGCTGGCAGAGATGATAAGGGGGGCAGCACTTCTGGCTACCTACCTGGCGCAGCCCTTATTTGAATATGCACAAAGGGTATGAATGGATAGACTAGCAGTGGCTATGAAGCAATGATGGGTAAAGCTGGACTCTGCATTTCCTATTCACATTCTTAAACATAGTTCCTATAAAACAATTCCTGAGTGGCTTTTCCACTTGAACCAGCAAGCATGAGTTAGATGCTGCTCTACCGAGGAAGGTTCTGAGGGTGGCAGAGGTCCTGAGATCTCAAATTAAAAAGAAAAATCTTGAATTCCTTGAATGGTGGCAGAAGACAAGCCTCATGGTGGATATGGGGACCTGCCTGTATGAGGGCGTCTCTGGCCCACAAGTGACCAAAGAGTTTAAAAATGAAAAACCCACCACTTGAGCTTGGTACCCTGAACTCAACGTCAATAACCAATTCCTTATATCTTCCTTTTGTTGTTGTTAAATATGATTTCAGTTTTCATGTAACTTTTCAGGTTCATCAAAATAAAGTGTGACATGATTTTGTAACTCAGCATGTTAAAACTAAGTTAAAAAACAAATTAAGTATATCTAAATACTAAAGTCTATGTCTGGTTTTAGCAATGAGTCAGCTTCCCCAAGGTTGTTCTCTAACAGAACTGTGTTTTATAATGAAATATTACCCTGTTCTAAAACAAAAGCAGAGAAATAAAAAAAGAGCACAGAATGAGTTTTTGAAATCTAATTTTTTAGATTAGAGCAGACAGTGAGTTTCTGAAGTCATGTGGTTTTAATTTATACAGTATTTCTATTTTGCAAACTTTAGCCTGTTTGGGCACATGTGCATGTGTGTGTACATGCACACACACACACACACAACCAGAACACTTCTCTTCCCTTTCCTGATATATTGAATTTGATTTCTGGATTCAGTTGACCTTTCCATTCATTTCACTGCTTGTAGATGAAGCAACTTGCAGCTTTTGACTTCTAAGGGGGAGTATTGCTCAGAAACATGCAACCTGTACAGGTTTCTGAGGTGGCAGGAACAGTAAGAGCTTAGGAGAAATGAAGGAGGGGATATGGGAGTGTGGACAAATAGAGTCACCTCTAAAGTTCTGCAGTTCAACAGATGATACAACAGGAGTTTTCCTGCTCCCATCCCAGTTCTGAGTTGCCAGAAGGCTGATGTGGAGCTGATCTTTGGACTGAGCCCACAGGAGTTGAGTAAAGGCACTCCTGTGTGTCTGATATGTATGGCAGTTCCAAGAACAACTATAAGTCATGTTGTCTTATATGCTGCTGATGATCTGTGTATCCTCCCACCTCCACTTAGGGTAGGAGAGGCAGAGGGGAGAGGAATCCCCAGCATTGACAGCACAGAAGAAACAAATGAAAGAGATTACTTTAAAAACAGTAAACCGCAATAGTACACTATGATGCTGTAATTATAATAAGAAACATAAGTGTTGGTCATCATCCATGGTTCGTGACACAGAGCTCCTAATTCCTGGGAATTTCCTGGGTAATAGGAGCATCTTTTGTTCTAATGAGACAACTGTTGGTGGGCTCCAGAGTGGGGCTGGTCACCAGAAAGACCAAGCCATGATCATAAGCTTGGAGCGTTTAGCTCCACCTGCATCCTCCAGGAAGGGGAGAGGGGCTGGGGATTGAGTTAAAAATCAATCATACCTAATCATTCATGCCTATAGAAACTTCTATAAAAATCCCTGAACTATGGAGTTTGGAGAGCTTTTGGGTTGTTGAACACGTGGAGGCACTGGGAGGGTGGTGAGGTGGAGAAGTCATGGAAGCCCCTCACCTCTTCCCATATACCTTGCCCTGTGTTTCTCTTCACCTGGCTGTTCATCTACATCCTTTGTCATATCCTTTGCCATAAACTGGTGAATGAGAGTTGTTTCCCTGAGTTCTGTAAACCATTCTAGCAAATGATCAAACCTGAGGGTGGGGGGTATGGGGACCCCCCATTTATAGCTGTTCAGTCAGAAGTTCCAGAGGCCTGGACTTACAACTGGCCTCTGAAATAGGGGGCAGTCCTGTGGGACTGAGCCCTTAATCTGTGCCATTTGACTCTAACCCCAAGTAACACAGTGTCAGAATTGAGTTTAATTGTAGCACACCCAGCTATTGGAGAATTGGTCAGTGGGAGAAAATACCCCACACATTCTGGTGACCAGAAATGTTGTGAAAGCATGGTAGGGGGAAACATTTTTCCCCCATTATGTTAATATAACCAGAAGGGCATCTGACACAGTTACTTTATACAGATCTCTACGCAGTGGGGAAAAACTCCTGGATACTATGAAAGGGAGAAACATGAGTATGAGTAGTTTTTCTCAAAGTAGCCCTTAGAAGAGAGGAAGAAGATGGGAATGGAGCCTGAAGCAAAATGAAGCGACTGCCCAGCTGGTGCAAGGCCAGCCTCTTACCGTAGTGCGGGATGATGGCCCAGGCCATGGCAGAGGCATAGATGCCACCGATCATCCAGAACATGCAGAGCCAGCTCAGGTGTTCACCCCGCTTTTCCCGGGCCAGCACTTCAGCAAAGTACGAGAACACAGTCGGTATGGCTCCTCCAATCCTGCCAAGACGTACAGAGAATACATGAAATCAGGGTGTGGACAGTTAATGTGAAATGCAAAGGGCAGAGCCAAAGCAAACTCTAACAACACATGCTTTCTCCCTATCCCAGCATATCAACAAACATATTTTCTATTATTTTTACAACGTAAAAATTATAGTCTCTATATTTAATAAAGGTTTATTATCCCTCCAAAAACTTGAACCTGCAATTAAGCTATGTTACCAAGAGGTGGCAGTGGTGTTTGTCTCAGGTGATTTATAGAGCTTAACATGAGATTCCGTTGGCTTTTCAGCTTATGGTTTATGTGATATTTATAAAAACTTACATTGACTTCCTATAATCTAGTGAATATTTTAATTAACTTGTTTTTAAAAAGAGTTGCTGTGCCATGTCCCACTCATGATGTGGGGACTTTGGAAACAGCTTCAAACACCTCTAGGGTACTATCTGTAATCTGTATTTACTCACTGCTATCCCACAGCAGCACTAAATTAGGTTAATGGGTTGACAAACACAGGATGAATGGGGTCATTTCCAAGATTAGCTCTAGTCCCAATCCAGTAGATAGTACTGCTAAACAAGTAAACATGAAAGGGACACTTGTAGAAAAAAATAAGGAGCTGGTAGTTTAGATATCAATAGAATGGAATATAATGCTTCCTTTCAGTAGAAGCTAGTTATAAGAGCTGCTGATTGAGCTCTGGGGAGATGACAGAAACAGTGACCTCTACCCAGGATAAGGGTGCTCAAATGAGGGTTTATGGAATCAAAATAGTGTTCATTTTTAGGAGATGGGCCAAGATTTCATCACAATTTCAAATAGGTCTTAGCCCTAAAACTTTAGGAACCACTGCCTGAAAAAGCAAGGTAGTAAAGAAAAATATTACTATCACTCCAAGCAATATGTGAGTTTTAAAGTATTTGTTTAAAAAGACACACAACATAGGTACATGGTTGAGATGACACAAAATCTAATACAGTTAGCAAATAGGCACTGATTCATTTTTGTTCAGATTTCTGTAAGGTAAATTGCTATTGACATTTCATGCAAATTTGATGTCAAGGAGTAAAGCATGTTTATTTATTCAGCAATAACTGATTTTCTTAGAGCCTTTGATATGATAAAGAAGTATTGGCAGTGTCCTTAACAAATACAATTTAGTGAAAGGTCATTTTGGCAGCCAAACTAGTGTACCAAATAAACCATAGGATTTACAATGTCATCCCGCATCAACTGGTAGGTGAAAATACAACACCATTTCATGTATTTGCCTCTGTTTAAAGTGATGCCATAGTTACCCATCAGTGGACATGGGAAGACCACTTAGGCTGGTGCTTTCCAATCTATGGGTTGCAAAATTTACTTTAGTAGCTATAAACAGTAAACAGCATTTTAAAAAATGAGATAGTGATAAAATATTTAAGTGCAACCTAAGTAATAAGGATAAGCATAAGTATCATTTCACGAAATTCGTGTTATAAACATATTTGTAATGTATAATGTACATATATAAAATATATAATGGGTCGCAGTGTGTTTCTTAGTGGGAGTTCCTGTTCAAAGAGTTTAAAATTCACAAACTTTAGGCATCTATATCAGTTTCTCTGGGCTATGACAGCGGTGGTTCTACCTAAAATTTCTAGAGGTGTGACTCAATCTGTCTTCAGATTTAGCACCATCACACACAGACGCAGCCAACCAAGTCCAAGTCCATAAGCAAACCCTCAAACAAGAAACAAATGCATGTGGTGGATTGTTTCAGCTCAGAGCTGGCTCTATACTGCACCATATTAGACTCATACACTTCTCTTGTCTGGGATTCTTGAGGCGCTCATATAATATATAGCTAGTTGAATTTTATTTTATTTTGTTTTAATTTTTTGATGGAATGCAGATAGTAAAATTGAAAGACATCATTTAATTAATCTTCTGTGCCATGAGACTCCACCAGGCTGTCTACAAAGACCACTGGGAGGCTGAAGATCACTTGAGCCCAAGAGTTTGAGGCTGTAGTGAGCCTTAAAGGGCCACTGCATTCCAGCCTGGGTGGCAGAGTGAGACCCTTTCAAGAGGTAAGCTGCATGCTTGCTTGCTATCTGTGATCATTAAACGCCCTGAAAACAAATACCACATATCAATCATGACAAAAAACAAATGTGCGATTTATTGGTACAGTAAGCTAGTTGAATTTTAAAACTCAACAATATTTTGAACAGATTTTAAGTGGTTTCATTATAACACACAATTCTAGTGTGAAATAAAATGTCTGTGTCACAAATAATTTTATGATACTCCTGTTTTTCATTTGATGTGAAGAATCCGTTTCTCTGCACCATAAAATCCCAGCTCCCTACTCTATGGTTTCACTTCTCAAGGCATAAAAATAGTCCTAGTTTTTACTGACTTTTCACATCCTCATTAATGTTTCATCAGGACTCTGGACATCCTGTTAATAACTATAACTTAAATTCCGTGAAGGCACAATTGTATGCCAGGATATGCCAGCACCCTCTGGACCAAGATAAATGTACTTTGGTGTGGCTATAATTTCTTTCTTTCCTTTTTTTTTTTTTTTTTTTTGCAGTGTGGCTATAATTTCAAGTGGAAGACTATAGATTTGCCTGTTAGTTTTAAACAAATCATTGTTACATAAGAATATACCAAGTTGTAGGGGCTTCTAGGCAATCCAGCTGGTTTTTATTCAATGCCTCTTTTTCACATGGTTATTTTTTCTGGATGTCTCTCAATATTTGTAAAGCAGGCTGCAAGGAACTGCTAAGGAATACTAAGGGATAAGTGAGACTGAAGAATTAGAGAAGGCTTCTATTTAAATTCTTTGCAAAGTTATTTAGATTCAGCAATATATAAAACAATCCAAGCATTCACATTTCTTATTGTGGGCTGATCATCTACTTTGGGGAAAAAATTACTCCTTGTACTACTGTGATGTCCTTTAAGCAGAGAAAAAACTATTACTATTACTATTACTAGTGTTTCACACCCCATATACCCCTTGAAGGTGGGGACTATATCATATTCATTCTTGAGTCCCCATTAACTGGCCCAGGGGACATGTGCTAAGTGTCCACGCAAAATAACTGAATTTTCCAGACTCTTCAATGTTGTAGTTGGCATACCAAGTCTCCTGGAGTAATCTGTTCTGATGATTTAAGTATCTCCAGTGAATAGAAAGATACACCTCACTTTGTGAACCAATACAACCATAATAGAAGTTGAGGGTTCTGGACTGAAAGTTTTGACAGCAATGGAGCCCGCAAAGAGTTCCCAAGTTGCTCTATGCCTTAGTTGCTGTGGTCACCTCTTGACCAAATGACCTGATGGTCCTTGTCATGGAGAGAGCTCCCTTGGAACTGCTCAGAGGATACTGGGCAATCCCACTGGGCATTCCAGGAGCTTCTGTAACACCTGTGAGCATTTCAGAAAAAGGTTGCAGATGCTATAATGATCATCAGAAAAATATTTAGGGAAGAGATAAAGCAAGAGCTTTCAGGTCTTACAACATAATTTGATTCCTCTGATAAATTTTGAAGATGAGAAAAATCTGCCACTCCCCAGCCCCCAAATCTCATAAATTAAAAAGAAGTTTCCCATTATGATTCTACCTCAATATTGCATGTGAGGGGTTAAAAATTTCCTTATTTGTTGTTTTTTGTTTGTTTATTACACTGAGATACAATTTCTGAAAATATACGAAGAAATAAAAAAATTAAATGAAAGTCCTTAAATCCTCATGTATCAGTAGGTCTTAAATAGAGTTGACTTTGCCCCCTCTTTGCTCTTTGCAGATGTCTGGCAACTTCTGGAGACCTTTAAGTTGTCATACCTTGGGGGGTGCTGCTGGCATCTAGAGGGTAGAGGCCAGGGATGCTGCTACACACCCTACAACTCACAGAACAGCTCCTTACAAAAAAGAACTATCCAGTCCAAAATATTAATAGCGCTAGGGTTGAGAAACTTTTGCAGTGGGGGACTAATGTGGAAAATATAATTGGTTTTATATAAAAGTCTATAAAATAAGACAAATATATTTTACATTAACTGATGGGAAACACATCCTTAAATCCAGTTAACATGGAGAGCTTAGTGTTCATTATATAATGATCAGTTAGTTACTGTTGAAATCTGCTCAAGTTCTTTTTTTTTAAGTTATATTTAATGGAATGTTTACATAAATGAAGCAATGAGATCAGAGAGGCTTATAAAGAATTTTTCTCAGTATTGGATATTAAGTCTATTTTATTAGCTGTCAAAAATGTCAAACCTTAATTATCCTTGGTAATAAGAGGCAAAGAAGGAATAACAATAGAAATTCACACTCTACATAGGTGTGAGATTAGCCAGATTCAAAATAACTTAATTCGTACAAACGAAATAGAATGCTAATATTTGAAATTTCAGAGTTGGAGTTATTCCTTAAGTAATATTAGTTCTCGGTTTTTGCAACTTTAATTATCCAAATATAAAGAAACTAAAATATTCTGTATTAAACACATTCCTAGAATGAATCAGAACCTCCCCAATCCACAGGCAAGCAGACCCAGACACACACACACCACACACACACACACACACACACAACACCTCAATAGGTTTGCACACGACTCAATACTAGGCATCTCGTAAATATCATGAAACATATTCATTTATTTTCCTCAATAATCTAAGGCAAATTCACAAGTGGTATATTGTGTAAAGCAAAGAATGTGTTAGCATTGCAGACAAAATTTCTCCTCTGTTGGGAAATGTGAGGCACACAAGTTAAATCAGTTTAGCACAGCAGGATGACAGAGTATGCCAAGTCTGCCTCTCTGCACAAACCACACTGGGAAACTGGAAAGCCTGACTGCCTTAACCCTGTGAATTTCACAGCCATGCCTCATATTACTCCAGTTCAGATGGCAACCCAGTGGGGATGATGTTTGTTCCCATGCTTCATCACACTGATGTACGCACGCAGGCTGTTTCAGGAAAAGGT